GAGGTCTCAGTGAGTCGAGATCACGCCACTGCACTCCAGCCTGGGCCACAGAGTGAGACTCCGTCTTAAAAACAAAAAAACAAAAACATAAAAAGAATGTCACAACAGGTACTGGATGGCTTGTTTGGAGGCCTAATTCTAGATCCTGTCTCCTATCTCTTACTCCCTTTCCCTACATTGCACTAGGGATTTCTCAGTTCTGCCAAACTTGGGAAGACAGCGGCCTCTCCCTCCCCTGAGATGTCCACTTCACTGGCTTCTTCCCTCTTACTGTGCTCAACCACCTGGGCATAGAACTGGAGTTCCCAAAGATGATTCTGATTCAGGAATGTGAATCCAAAAGCACAAAGGGCAAATGAGAAAACGGAACTCATTGGTGTTTAACGAGAAATAAGAGATATGTAATATTTAATAATATATATAAGAAATATATAATATTGAATGATAAAATTCCAGAGAGACTACACCAAAACTTAATAATTACCTTTGGGGAATGACAACATGAAGAAAGGGTGGTAGTGGAGTATTCTTGTGCATTTTTATCTTTTGTTCTACAGCCTTCTTTACTGTTTAAGTAGTTATTTGTTAACCAAGAATGTGAAAACAACACAATATCACTAACCCAAATCCAAGAGCCTCTCACTTCAAACAACACTTAGCTGGTACGTAAGTACACGTGTGTTTACTTTGCTATTAGATCCAGGGTGGAGGTAGTGATTTTAAAAAAAACAATTCTAGTAACAACAGGAAAAATCAAACTGAAAAACATACGAAGCGTCGTGGACTCAAAGGTTAAGTGTAAGTGTACTCGCCAACAACAGGTCTCAACTCAACTGAAAATGACGTGGCTTCCTTATCAATTCATGTTTTCCCCTGAATCCCTTCTTAAGTAGGAGGGAAGAAACAAATTCCATGTAGAGTCTGGTATGTGGGAAAGTTGTGTTTTTTGTTTTGGGTTTTTTTTTTTTAGTTTTTTATTTAAGGGATGGATTCTTGCTCTGTTGCCCAGGCTGGATAAGCTTTTGTTAATGCAAACGACATCTTATACTAGAAGAGACACACAGAGATATACTCACAGTTTTGGGGGAAATGTCTTACTAACATTCAGGTACTTAGTCTCAAAAACGAAGCTACTGAAAAAGCTTCATACTCATGGAGGATGGGAAGAGTTACATACATGAGCA